TTATTACTATAATTAGTATTTTGAATGTGCAATTGTTATAGTTAAATAAAAGAATGTCTAAAACAAAGCTAGTAAGTTTCTTGTGAGTATATGTACACTAACAGTGCAAGTACTGTACTGCGATGCGCGGGGGCGCCACTTAAAATCTTGCCTAGGGCACCAAATTGGTTAGGGCCGGGCCCGCTGTGAGGAATAATACTATCTAATAATCCTGGAAAAACTTGCCTCGAAGTGCTGGTAATTTCATTTCGAGGAGCAACGAATCAAGCTGATGAAGTAAGTCATTTATTCTTAAGTGCTTTGTTCTAATCGCGATATGGAATAGTGTCTGTAAACCACAAAAGACTGTTCAAATATGAATCGCATGTGTGAATGAATGAATGAATGGTTGTTTACTACAGCTGTACAGCGCGCGCGTCTGTGCCGTTCATTCATTTATTTTTACATGACCACATCTGCTAGTTTAGCTTTGACCAAACTATATTGATATAGCCTACTGAGATGAGTAAAAATAGACTGAAATATGTTGAAATAAAATGTCTTTGTATAAGCAACAAACTGCAAATTGACATTTACATACTAATATATCATACACACCATGTTACAGACTATATGAATGTTTAGACAAGATTTCGTTGATTAGTTTTTACTGTAAAAAAGACTACTGCCACATCAAATAAGCTTTTGTTCGCCAATTTCTGCTCATATGTTAAATATATAGTAGCCTATGGGAAGTTTTGTCAAAAATAAAGGAGGTATATTGAATTATCAACTAAGATGTTATTATAGTGTTTGTTCCAATATTCAAACTAATGAATGCTTACCTTTGAAATATGTATGATAAAATATATACTTTTTATGTAGAAAGATTACACATGAAATATTAGTAAAATTGCAATGGTTGTTGTAATTGTAACTTTTTTTTAGTGTTTTATAGTGACAATTTTGGGGAGGGGATACATATTCCAAGACTTTCTGAAAATACAGTATGAGAATTAACTACACAATTACTAGAAATGTTTACCTTGGATATTATACAATTTGCATGCATACAAAATTTGTGGAAAAAGACTATTTTTTTCAATACGTTTCCAACTAACTTTGAACCAATTCTATAGGATATATATACAGTGTATATATATATTTCTTTTGTCTTCACATTCTTTGGTACCCAGTGACACACCTGTGTGAAAGGTTCATTATGCGGCTCATTATGCAGGTCATTGTCTTCTCAGGTGTGAATCAGGGCATTATTCAGGATCCTCACAATCATTCACGCATTTTTTTCAATATTCTCTCAAAAATACAAACATGTACATACATGTTGCTCACATATTATGGTAGCCCTGTTTGTGCTGAATAGAGTGTAATTACTCCTTTGCCATTAATATGTTTATAAGCAACTGAAAATAACACAAATGTTAGTGCGTCAAAACATCTCAAGGACCCCAAAACACCTTAGACCCCAGAGGGTTAAAGTTAATAGTTTTTGGTTTATAATAAAGAAAACCTTTTTGATTGGCCTATACATGTTGTTTGTGTCCCCTCATTTTTGTCACAGGCTATGAGCCGGCCTGTGACAGATGTGACGTAATGACGCTAAGACATCATTGAATTTTCCGCGGAAATCCACCAGTACCACTGAAATTAAAAACATTATTACAAGCTTACCGTTTTGAATCGAGCTACGGCAAATAGAGAGTTTTGAACACTGGCTAGTTATGTTCTTGCTCAAATTTATTTTGGATTATTTTTAACCCAAAAAAGTTACGGAAAGTTAAGAAATGCGTAGTTTCCAACCGTGCTGTCTCTTTTTTTCTGGGGCATGAGCGATGCCCCATTCATTAATGGACTTGAATCGCAAATCAGCAACTACGGGACATCCCCGCAGCCCCCGCGGTGCGTGGGGGGCCCCCACCCTATGATGGGCCCCGTCGCAGATTTGCCTATTTACTACCAGATTTAATTAGAGATTCTCCTCACGTGTTGACTGTGTTCTATTTCATGCAAATCGAGGGAAAAAAAACACAAACATGTCGATTTTCTGTTTTTTTTTTTAAGTAATTCTCAAGATCCATGTTTTAGTCTTGTTTTCTGTTTATGCGTGATAAAAACTTCACTAAACATTTAGCGCACTCAAACCCTGTGCTCTGTCATTTTTAATATTTTATACAAAAATATTAGATAAAAGTTTCAAAATCTGTCGAAAACAATTAAGTTAATTGCGACTGTTAATTGCGACTTCTGGCTCAGCGCCAGCCAACGCGCGAAAGCACATTTGAATTTAGCAGCTGATCAACTGATGTAATCGTACGACGTTAATCTAATATATGTAGCAGGGATTTCACTTACTTTTAGTGTATTTTATTGGGCTTTAAAAATAAAAATCTTGTGTTCCCTCACGTTTTACCCCTGATTTTTAGTGAGAGTCAACATGGGCCACTGATAGATGACAGTTGTTCGCCCCCCTCTTCCTCTCCTGCCATACCCTGCCACACACACTTCTTCTCACAGCCATCCACCCACATTTAAAATACTATTTTAACTATGTCTGTAACTTTTCTGGGCCGGCAGATGAAATTACCGAGCAGCCTATGAAGGAGTGAGACAGTTCTCAGATTTCATCAAAAATATCTTAATTTGTGTTCCGAAGATGAACGAAAGTCTTAAGGGGTTGGAACAACATGAGGGTATTTACTGACATAATTTTCATTTTTGGGTGAACTAACCCTTTAAATGTTCCTGCATGTCTTTTAAGGAGCTTTCAATGTTGATGTTAAACTTTTTTTCAATGATTTGATGTTACACTGGATGATTCAACACAATATTAAGGGTTTTTCAATGTTTTCTGTTACATTCCTAAATTTAATGCAAGATAAATCTGAAATGTCCGAGTGATAATTTTACTGTAGCAAATGGAATTGATACATTTATTGATGGATGGGTTTTTTTTGTACAAAATTACATTGTTGATGGTTTTATTATTGATTTTTCTTTTTCATTAAGTCATGCACTAAAACGGATTCAGTATTGACTTTAGTAAATCAAACAAATTCAATCTATAATGTTTTTAAGAACAAGTGGAAATTCTGGTTTCTGTGAGTTTGTTGGAAGATTGCACTAAATAAACAGTTAAATGTTTGATTCCAGAGTGTAAAAGGCTTATTTTTTCAGACAACAATTCAGTGATATTTCATGTTGTGTGTAATTTTGTTTTGTTTATTTTGATATTTAATATCTAAAAGTTTGAAAAATTAATTTAATCCAAATAATAATTTATAATTGAATGCTTATTAAACAAATCTCTTTGGTTGAAAGAGTATTTTTACTTTCAATTGACTACAGAAATGTGATTTGTGCAAAAAAAAAATTTAAGTTGAGAAAAAGTAAACCAATTACTTGTAACAAGTAATTTTTTTAACTTTGATCCAACGACTCAGAACAAATCTGTCATGAGAAAAAGTTATTGCAGCCATGTTTAAATGTTTATATTAAACTAACAAATTGTTGTAGAAACATAACAATATCAAATGTTTTTATAAAACTGTAGTTTTACATTTTAAATGTTTGTGCAGCCTAACTTTTGGTTGTTGATTATTTAAACAATTGATTAACCAATTTATGTTTCGTTTTCTGCGCAATTCTTCTCAAAGGAAATCGTTATTGTGTAAACATATACTAAATGTAGACGGAAGGCCAAAACGGAGAGAAAAAGATGCGTTTTCAAACGAAAACGTAAGTGTGGACATGGCCTATGGGGCTGTTTACACGACATTGTTTTCAAATAAAAATGTAAAACTTTTTATGTGTTTTGGCCGTTTCGACAATGGCGTTGTGGTTGCCTCAAAACGCAAACTTTTGAAAACGGTCTCCGTGTAAACAACAAAAACACGAATCTCTGAAGACGATGTGGTCTTGCACACACGTATTACGTGTTCAATCTACACTGTTTCATCTCCATCTAATGGCCTGACAGCAGAATACAGCATTTGTAGTCATTTTCGCGGATCCGTGTCAATGGGAATCGTTTCGACAATGGTGTCATCTGTACGCAGAAAACTCCAAGGAAAAACTTCTCCGTTTTAAGCATGTCGTTGTCGTGTAAACGTACCTTAAGACATAACCAACTATGTCTACTAGGATACTAGCTGAGATGGGCATTTTTTACATAATTCTGTGTGAATTTGTTTATTGAAGCGCAGGTAGGCATGAAAGAGAGCTCAACTTCACGCACTGTGGCTTTCAGCGTGTATGCTTCGGATTCTAAACTTCCCACACAGTGTGTGAGTAACAAATTCCCTTTCTCATGTTCCATTGCTTGAATATTTACATGGGAAAGGCTGAAACTTTAGTGATGATGCAGAACTGACCCGTCAACTGAACACAGCGGCGTTCACGTTTGTTCACGTTCGTTCACATTCATGTTGTCACAACAATGCATTTTGTCGAATTAAAAAAATTGTTAATGTCCAACTGGCGACTGACACCATTTTATTCACTCACCAACAGAGATTTTTACTCACATTTTGCAAAATGGTTTAACTAGTTGTCATAAACTGTTAAGCATATTTTCTATAAATTTCTAATAGAATTATTTAATGTGTCCTGAATTGATGAATTGCAGAGGTTAATGTAACTAATAAAGGGAAATGTAAAGGGCTAGATAAACCAGTTCTCAGAAATATCTTAGAGTGCTTCTCATGAAGCTTAATTTGGCAAGCGTATATAGACAGAGCACGACACAGGGTTAATTCTGACAATGAAAGTACAAGGAAACAAACAAGCTCAATTGTTTTGAGAAATGCACTTACTGGTTTGCAAATCTTAAGAGTGATTCAAAAAATTTACCAAAGCGACTGAGAAAAACTGTAATGCATAATAACAGCCACATAATGATAAAAAAACAGAAGGTTCAGCTACAGACCTTCTTCATATTTCTAACATGGATGAACACATCATTCTCAAACTTTGCGAGAAAAATTGTCTCATTGGGGACTTACCTTTAGATACAGAGATGTACAAGAAAAAAGTGATGATACATGCAGTAGTGTAGTGCATAGCTGACATGATCAGTGCTGGCTTCTTTTAACTCTCCACGCTTTGGGTGAAATACAAATATGAACCTTTGTAACGTGTATTTGAGGAGTGATTAAACATTAACATTTTAATGCAATTCTGGTAAATTCTATAAAGAAATCAATTTCGGTGAGTCTTAAAGGTGCAGTGTGTAATTTCTGTCCTAAAGAAGCGAATTTCTGAAATAAAAATGGTTTTCCAAAACAGTAATTTCATGGTGAAAGATGAAATGTGGCCAACTTTGATAGACCATGTTCTTGTTCATAGAAAGACAAAGAGTACAACCCTATTTGAGCAGATTCCCCACAGCAGTGTTTTTTCTGGTCCACACAGCCCCCAGATCTGGATTTAAGACAAGGGCCACACATGGGCCTTAAGTTGCCAGAGTCTCAGCCAATTATTAACCCTTAAATGGCCCTGCAGAACATTAAACACTAACCGATCTCTCAAGATCTCAGCATATTCACTAACAATCTATACTTTACTTCTTTCATCCTAAAGTTGTTATTGAAAATTAACAGAGGTTCAGATGTTGATGTTTTATTGAAAACATATTTTGGTGATCAGTGTTTGCTTTAGTTGGGCTCTTGACCCTTGACGTCTTATCATTAGTTTGTCTCTGGCTGCTGCAACTGTGTATTTCTGATACACGTATGTTATGGCAAGAGAAACTCAGATGATGTTGGTCACTTGTTAGTGATTGCATAGTCATCTTTTAGTGGCCTGGTTCACTGATGTCAGAGTCTCTGATTAAATTGTTTAATATTAATTGTTAATTTCACATGCCAATACTACTGCAGAAATTCAAACAGTGCCGTGATACTCTGAAAGATTTTATGAAGTCATTATGCAGAAAATGTTCTGACAAATGTCATGTAGACTCACACAGACATCAAGAATCAGCATATGAATCTCAACAGTGGTGACAATAAAAACAATTATTCAAATCAACTTTGAACGTCACAAAACAAGCTACTAAAGTCACAAAAAAAGCTTTGTTTATTGTCACCATTGTTGAGATTCATATGTTGATTCTTGATGTCTCTGTGCGCCTAAAAAAACACAGGTCACAATATTTTCTGTATAATGACTTAAAACAAATTTGAATAACAGATTGTCATAATACTGATGCCACAATATCACAAGGCTACTGTAAATCATGTGAAATTGACTGGTAATGTACTTTATGTAATATTATTGTGGGAGAATAAGTGATTTTATTATTATTTTTATCGTGTACTAGTGATTCTGAGTTCCTCTCCCTGGCATTTCCGTTCTCATTTCTATCCAGGTAAGTTAAGACTCTGCTGACGGTGTAATGTGAACAGCTCAAGGCAAATATGTGCTATTTCTAGTTTAAATTAAAAGTTGTTGAGTTGTTGATGGAGTTGGTGGCGTTGGTGTTGTGGCAAATTGTGGCGGAGTTTGCTCTCAGGTACATGTAGTCTTCGTATTAAATCTCTAGATTGCTTGCGGTGGTGGTGGTATTGTGTATTGCTCTCAGTAATACCAACAATAGCAGGTGTGTGAATACTGGCCGGTAGACTGAGCCACGGCACCTGTTGTGAGTAACCATACATCTTTACATCTGGTGTTTGTTCAATCCAAATCATAAGTACGCCTCGCCCTTTTTCACATTTAGGGTTTGGTGAATTTAGTTTACCTCTTAGATTTTTTTGTTAAAGGTAAAGGGGGAATGGAACATCAAGATCTTTAAGCCCTATTCCTAGCCAAAGATGCTACATGTACGCTGGTGTTTTGCTTACTGGCATTTCTTTGTTTTTGTTTTGCTCACGGGTATCTGTGCTGTTTCCTTGCTTCTCTGCGGGTCTCTTGGGCTTCTAGCTTATGGTCATTGCATCCGTGGGGCTGCTGATCAGTTTCATTTTTGATTGCTTACAAGGGGAACAGGGGAGTCTAGCTGCTTTGTGGTGTGCTTCACAGTGTGCTGTCTGTGCTGACACATCTTCCTTATGGTGTGTGTGCGTGGTGGCTGATTTGGTGTGAATTTATGTGGGTTTGAATGACTTCCTGAGTTGCAGCCGGCCTGCCTTGTTTCCGCTAAGCCTGGCCCTGGAGAGTTATTTTTATAATTTTGATTGTGCTTTGTGACTCCACTTATTAATGCCACATTGTGGCGTAGTCGGATTAGTTTAAATTGTGATTTACTTTTCCCTCCACTTGTTAATGCCACATTATCACCAATTGTTGAATCTCAGATGTTAAATATATTCAAAGTTCGTTGGAGTTGCAGAAACTTGATGGCGTGTCTGATTAAAACACATGGACAAATACCAGTCCTTTGCTCTCCTTTATTTTAAGTTCAGGATGCTTAAGTCTTAGGTAATTCACATGACATGAAGTTCAATAATTCACATGGAACTGATACACATGATGCCAATGGACAGATATTAATGGATGGACAGGATGAACCGGATGTACAATATGGTCTTTAGTCACTACAAACAATACAATAAAGGAAATCAAACTCATATAATTCATCAATAAACATATCAACAACATATACTCAATCTAAACAATTCAAATAAACAAATTCAAACAATACAATTGGCAAAACAAACTTACTTAACGCATCCTAAGGAAAGGACATGGTTGGGTGTCCATTCAAACACCCACACCTCACCAATACAAAAGAAACAAAGGAAGGAAGTGAGGTCTACTTATAGACCTCGACCAGGAGGTATATGGGTAATGTAGTGTAGTATACTTGGAATTGTGGGATATGTAGTACAAATATATATATATATATATAAAAACAAAAAAGAAAAAAAAGGTCAAATTAAAGAAAAGGACCAAATTCACAACACCAATACATGACCAACTTCATCTGATAAGATTTTCTCCTGCATTTTTTCGGCATAACAAATATGTATCAGAAAGACAGTTAAAGCAGCAAAAGAAAAACTAATGTTAAAAAGTCAGTGGTCAATAGCCCAACTAAAGCAAATACTGATAACCATAATGATGACTCCCCCCAAAAAAATTCCCAATAAGACATCAACAACTAAACCTCTCAATAAGAACTTTTGTATGAAAAAGTCTAACTGGATTGTAATGAAGATGCTGTGATCTTGAGAGATCTGTTAGTGTTTAATGTTATGTTGCTGCCAGTTATTTGAATTAATTTAGGAAATACCTGTAAATATTTCTGTTTTTTTGCACTTTATTTACCGTTTTTGTTTGCAACCGTTGCTGCAAGTCAGTTGACAGACAAATATCCATGAATAAAAGTTTGAATTTGGATCTGTTCCTGTAGTAACTTGAGAGAGGTCTGAGAATTAAAGATTGATCATTTACTGAGTGAGTTCAATGGCAAGCAGTAAAATCAGCCTCATCACAGGCGGACTCCACATGCACAAACAACAGATTCTTCTTTGCTGCTCTTTAAGCTAAGTTCAACTGCATTAGACTGTCATAAATATTCACATACAACTTTTAAATCTCACTCTACAACAGTTCGTCACACAAAGCATGACATTCCAAAGATTTGGATTACAGGAATAAAATCTGGTGTATTTTATGACAGCATATTAATAAAAGTATGCCCCACGATAAATAAAATTACAGAAATATTGCATGATTATGGTTAAATGATCACAGAATTTTTTTATGAATTCAATATTCTATAAAAAGTCTATAAAAAAGTCAAAGTCTATAAAAAGAACGTACGAACATCACAACGAAGTTTTTTTATCCCGGATACGGGATGGTGGAGTTAATGTGGTTAAACTGTAGTATTGTTTAAAATGTATCTTTCGAAATGCCAAATCATAACAGAATTAAATTTTATCATTTCAAATGAAGTATAAATTCATAATCCTGATTTGGACCAGATGATCACTGGATTGATCTGGGCCACACTCCTCCCATCATCAATCGGCCCTAATCATTTCCACATGGCCCAGCTCTGGCTGACAGGATATGTGCCATTGCCGACAGAAGGCCAGCAGTGCCAGCTTGAGGCCACATTCGGGCCAAGCTTGCTTGCTATGTGGGTCTGTGTGGATTAATCAGGGCATTAAGATAACAGGTAATTGTTTCTTTATACTTTGTTTCAGTCATTAAAAGTGTACTGTATGCATTTGATTCAGCTCATCACTTTTTCAATAGAAAAAAATGTTTTTTTCCCCATTGTACCAAAAGTCAAATGAAGAGATATGTCTACCAACCAACAACACAGTGATGTGCTCAATGTGGCGAGTGGGTGCGGTTGAGACACAAGCTCAAGTTGATTTATTACTAAAGAACTCCGACTACGCCACCCTAGGAGTTAACCCCAGGGAAAAATACTAAACATTGAGTAAAGCACACAGGTTCGGTTCCCTCATAAAGTTAGACAAGAGACGTGAGTACAATACAAAAATACAAATATTTATTAATACAAGAATGATTAAAAATGTTGGACACTAAGACCCACATCAAACACTAACAACCCCACTTCAGATTAAAGAAACAAACACAAACCAATATAACAATGTATATCTGCAAAGCAAAATACCTAAATTATAACAGCAGGGCTGGGGGCTCCCAACGAAGGGGAATCACTGTCGGTTTTACGGGGCACACGTTCACGCGCACACACACCCGTGCAGTCTAATCGCACTCAAGTGTACACTGCACACAATAAAGAAGAACCACCACCACAAAAAAGAAGAGCACTCCGGCCGTGGGACCCCAGCTCCTGCAGTAGAAAATAAAAACAAAGAAACTATACAAATGAACATAGAAATAGCAATAAAGACATTACCAATAAAGCAAAAAATAAGAAAAAGAAAACCAATAACCTAAAAAGATCAAAGAGCTGGTCTGGAGATTATTACAAAGCAGTTTCAACTCAGTAACGTTAGATGTTCACACACACAAATGAGATGACATTAATGGTCTCAAAATCACATGCATCCAGATAACCACTTCGTTGGTTGTTTTAATTAAAGCAAAGGGAAGGAAAAGAAGTTCAATCAAAGGAACAAAACAAGAAAATATGAAGCAGGGCACTAAAACGACACAGTAAG